TAGGCCTATATATATATATATTATATTAGCGTTTCTGCAATCCACTAAACCTTTGTTTCTATTATTTTGAATGTGATCTTTGTTACCATGGAGTTCGTTTCTATTATTTTGAATGTGATCTTTGTTACCATGGAGTTCATTAATAAGTTTGACATAACTAACTTTTAAGGTTAGTTGCTTGATATTATTCCTAAATTTACTGTTATTAAGCGTCATTGATAAAAGCTATCACTTTATCTGCAAAATTTGTTTAGTGGTAAACAAAACATGTCTGGGATATTTTCTTTTAAATATTGCAGGCAAGACCTAATTCAACTATGTCTGATTCATCCGAGGACGAATATACAAAGTTGAGCGCTGATTCCATCTCGGAAACGAGTCGCATCGAAGTAGTCAAAGATCTAAGCGACTACGTCAGTGAACAGACACACAACGAAGATCGGAAAAAGTCCAAAACTGTTGCTCTATTTGGAGGGTTCTTTAGTCTTGTGAGTATAACACCGTATGCCTATCACTGCACTGCACTCTAATTTAATATTATAGTAAGGTTTGTTTCTCTAACAGATCAATAAGATTTTCTTTTAATAAAGTTATGTTTGTGCATTGTTTTTCATAAGAGTGGAAAATCACTTTAAGACAGTTTTAAGACGTTACTTATACTTGACTGCCAATGCTTATCCGCATACTTTTTGTCTGTTCATTTTGCTGTTGAAAGATTGAAAACAATTTTCAAAAAGCTAGGCCTTTAGACTAGAATTAAATTCGAATGGAACGCATACTTAGGCATATTCTTCTGATGGGTGAATAGGCGAGGTAGCTCATGATTTATGGGTGAAGTTCAAAGCCTTACCGTGGTGCATAAACATCAATTGCTTTTAGGAATTTATTTTTTCTAAATCACTAGGCCTAGTCTTGCAATCCACTGTCTTACTATAGAAACATTCGTTAAAACAAGAAGTTGATTACACATTATTACTTTTTTTTATTAGGCCCATTCTATATAGTGCTTCACTGTAGAAATCGTGCGATTTTTTTAAATTTTATTAGGGATTGATTATAGGTGTAGTTGGACCAACACTTCCTGATTTGTTGCATCAAGTGAACGCTAACTATGACCGGCTATCCTACATTTTCCTCAGTCGTGGCTTTGGATATATGATTGGATCAATAATCTCCGGTGCAGTACTTGAACGCTTTAACGCATTTGGGCTATTGGGGACGTTCCTGGTGACGTGTTCCATGGGAATGATGTGCGTTCCAGCGACGAAGAAACTTAGCACTATCATGTTCGCGTTCATTTTGACCGGCACTGCAATGGGAGGCCTTGATACAGGTTTGAATGTTTATTTTAAATGCCTAGGCCTATATTTATATTTTGAAAAATGCTTGTGTTTTCGTAATAATTATACTTCAAAATGTTTTCTTGACAGACTTTTATTTGAGTCAACTTTGTTGTTCCGACTGCTCTGATGAACTAATATGTATAACATTTTTAGAATAGGCCTATTCATATGCTAAACAATGTTAAGCGTCAAAAAATGTATACGACTTTGAAAATACGACTCGCAAGTTTTATAAATGATAATTCATGTAACAAATTAATAGATAATCGAAATATTTAAGAAATAATGTTCAACCCTTATTTTGTTTTACATCCATAGGAGGTAATGTGTTATGCCTGAGAATTTGGGGTGAAAGTTCACCGCCTTACATGCAATCCCTCCACTTCACATTTGCGGTAGGGGCCACTGTTGCGCCTCTCATTGCCAAACCTTTCATCAGTGTATTTGCCGATGCTAATGAACTAGACGAATATACTCTGTACACCACGGACATGGTTTTTAGCACGGTTAAGGAAAGAGAAATCACCGAATTGAAGCCTCCGAATTATGTTACTCACAAGACACAGTTCGAAGAATCAAACACTACAGTCAAAACTCCAAACATCACTGACTTTCCTCTTATGTTGTGTTCAAATAATGGAACTTGTGCTCCGAAGACAGAAACCGTCGACGTCATACGTTCTCGCACCGATCACCTAACACCTTCTGAGCATAATGTGACCAGCGCTGGTGGGAGTAGGCATACTACAGTTGACATGCCTCAAGGGACTGGACAAGCTATTACAAAAATAGAGGACGGCCTTAGCCCTGGAGACATATTAATCCCAGGAAATATATACATAGTGTACGCAATCATTGCAGGAATAACTCTTCTCAATGCTTTTGTATTCTACTATTTCTGCGTCACTAGTGAGTTCAAATGCAGGCGACCTAGTAATCATTCACCAGCGGATGACGCAACGGACGAAGCAACAGATAAATGGTTTCGCATCCACATGTTAATTATTTTGTTTGTTTTTTACTTTCTTTACGTTGGCGGTGAAGTGGCATTTGGTAGCTACATATATTCCTACGCAATCAATTGTGATTTGAAACTCAGTAAAGATAGTGCATCACTTCTCAATTCTCTCTTTTGGGGTACCTTCGCTATATTTCGTGGATTAGCAATTATTTTAGCTTATTTCTTTACGCCTCTGCAAATGCTGTTGGCAGACGTAGTCCTCTGTATAGGAGCATCCGTTATCTTAGCGGTTTTTGCAAACACCAGTCAGATCGGTATCTGGCTTGGCACGGCTCTGCTTGGAGCTGGCATGGCGTCGCTTTTTCCAACTGGTTTATCGTGGCTTGAACGCTATATACGAGTGACCGGAAATGATGCTGCTATCCTAGTTGTCGGCGCGTCATTTGGTGAAATGCTCATCCCGTTCTTTATAGGACAGTACTTCCCCGATGATGATGGTACCAGTGGAGATGACAGTGAAAACATTGATGCTCTTATGTACTTGATGCTATTCATTGCATGTCTTACATTTGCCCTATTTGTGATAGCTTATAAACTTGCTTCACGTAAGGGGGATCGTTACAGTAAGAATGCCGAAGACACGCGGTGTGATACACAGATGTCTTCAGTATAGTGCTTGAATTACAGTTTTTGTCTTTCAATACACTTTTTTTTTTTTTATAAGAACACATTTTATAAGAACACCGAGGCTGAAATTGCTTAAAAATTAAGAACAAAATAAGAACAAATTGAGGCAGAGGTAAAATGTCCAATGATATTTTTATTTTAAAAAACTAGAAAAACCAAAAATATATATCTGTACCTTATGTGTAGTAGGTGTGACTATGTAATACCCTCTATAATACAGTACAGGAGGTGTATACCTACTTGTCATTTGGGGACATTTTTACCGGGGCCTTTTTTCAGTGGCCTTTTTATCGGGGCCAGTTTTTCCTGGGGCACTTTTACCTACCTTCCAGTACAGTGTATAATGGTACAATAATACATTTGTATGTTTGTTAAATGTGTAACATAAGTACAAAATAAGAACATTTTGAGCCTGAAATTGGCCAAAAAATAAGAACACTGAGCCTGGGCAAAATTTTACTGGTTCTTATAAAAAAAAAAAGTGTAATAATATTTTGATAGAGAAAATGCTATATAGCACCCTCTATTGGTTACCTATAATGAACCATTCCGGAGTCTCATTCAAACTTAACATCTGACCAATCAGAATGTGTAATTTAGTATAGTCAGGTTTCAGTGGTTGTCCTACAAACACGTAGATTTTCGCGGTTTCCACCCCTTAGCAACAATAATTCTAAGATAAGGGCTTAGCTGAAAGGTCCATTATTACCGCTCTCGCTCTTTTGAATGAGCCTGGATTTGATATTAAGTTTATTTACGATTCGTTCACCAAAGCAAACGTACAACTCGAACAACCGTCAATGTGTACCGTACATTCGTTCTATCGGGTTGGTTTAGATGATATATACAATGTTATCTTCCCTAGTTTTTGTAAAAAGTAACTGTATATGATCTGTAGAATATCTTACGCTTTAATAAAATAAATGGCTCAGGTGATAAATAGGCATAGGCCTATACAGTACACTTTTATTTTATGTTGACGGTTTTGTTGTTCTCTTCTTCATATTCTTCATCTTACTGGTTTCTTTTATTCAACTTCTGTTGGACATATAATGTTGAAAGCGCATAGCATTAGAATTTCACTATCAAGTTCAATGTAAATTGATGGTACAGGCACTTGGACTAGACACATCTAGATGTGTATAAGAGACAGGTGTGTGTGTGTGTGAAAACGCGTTTGATACTATCAATAATTATACGTTAATTTCAGAGTTACATAGGCCTATTATTGGATTAGGGTTGAGGCTTTACTTTGGCTTTTGATAATTTCAGTACTGTACCGTATTAACTTTGAGCTTGTTTGCTTTAATAAATGTGTCTCTAAATTACTTATCGACTAGGGCTGAATGGACTGAAGCTTTGTGCTATTATGCTTTCTTTCATATAAATGATTTACCAAACTCATAATTTATTTTCAGATTTGAGATTGATTGTGAATGATACTAACCTATTACATTCTTTATGTGTTAGATTTACAATACAATCCCGAAAACACCAAGTATAATTTGACAATGTTGAATTATATTTTCTACCTATAATTTTTTTTTCTCTTTTTTGTGGGTAGCACATCTTTATCCAAAATAAAAAAAAAAAAAAAAAAAAAAAAAAAAAAAAAT